TATATGTATGTATTTACAAATTCAGTTCATGTTTAACTCACATAGCAACAGCCAGCGCGCCTTTGTGACGTATATCGCAAATGGAAACTTCCGTACCGGGACCGGTTCCTTTGTTTTCGACGGCTCGTTCAACTCATGCGCATAGTCCGAGTTCTACGGACCTCCCGCCAATCAGAACCTGCTCCTGACGCGAACTGCATTTCGCTCGGTACTAGACTTGATCGCTTACGCATTGTTGTATACTGTGTATTTTACTACTGTGTTAACTGTTAATTTTCCAGGTATCCATTCGCACTCACTATTTTATCGCCGACTTTTAAACCTTGAAGATGAGCTTCGGAGTTTAAATCTACTTTCGATACGAAGAACCCTGTGGTATGTTCTCGGCACCCGCACAAGGAGAACCCGAACGCTGGAGCGGCCCGTCGCGGTCTCAGCAAACGTATGACGCGGACGCGCTGCTCCGACGAACCCGCAGCGGTATCGCCACGTGATCCCGACGTGGTCGTCGATGTTTTTAACTCGGAGTACATATTCAGCAACAATAGAGTTATATTTCACCAACAGTAAAATTTGAGTAACTGAACATTATCAAAGTTGATCAAAGTCATTTCACACGTAAGGATGTATTTAAAACACTGTTACACTAGTATAATATGTACAAAAATCGATGACCGACAAAGTTACGGCACCGAATACTAATTCGTTACAAACGTCCGCTCTTGACATCGGAGCATCGCGAATGCTAAAAATCTCTCTGCCTAGGGAGCGGCCAACGCTCCCCGGGTAGAACACCTTGCCCGTCTGGAGAGCAGCCGGCTGCGGGGTTATGTGGAGACTTTTACCCACTAAACTCCACCTTTTGGGATTGGCTTACCGATATGACGAGAGATCTTTAAGCTGTAAACTCAGAGAGTGATTTGAGGAACTGCTGAATTGTAGGGAGCTCTAAGTCTCGGTGGAGGTTGGCGTTACGGACATAGTAGTGTGATTTCGTAGCCCGATGACAGAAGAGATTTTGAACTATTTGAAGTTCATTTATTAAGTTGGGTTTAGCATGTGCGAAAAGGGGGCCATAACGGGGCGTATACAAACCTTACATAGGGTTCGCTTGTTGCGGAGGGACATTTTACTGTGTCTGCCCAACATGCTGTAGAGTCTACCCATGTAAAATCGCGCGGTGCGAGTTACTTTCTTGATATGGCGCTCGAAAGTGAGCCTTTCATCAAGGATGACGCCTAAGTATTTGACTTTTGTTTGCCATGGGTCAGGGGTTTCTAACATCCTGATTGGCGGAATGGTAGTGAGACGGTGTCGTTTATGTTCGAAGCAAACGGCGGAGCTCTTCTCCGGGTTTACGTCGATACGCCATTTTTGGAACCAAGCTCCTAAGTCATTAACCGACTTTTGGATCTTGTTCCGAATCTGTAGCAGTGAGTTGCCTTTAGAGTAAAGGGCTGTGTCATCTGCGAAGAGGGCTAGTTTGACACTATTCGACGGGATAGGAATGTCGTTGGTGAATAGTATGTATAGGAGGGAGGAGGTGGGCAAGCACAGAGCCTTGAGGGACACTGGATTGATTTGACGAGAAGAGAATAGCATGCCTTCGTGTCTAAAACGAAAGGTACGATCCTTCAAATAAGAGGCTACGAGGCGGACGAGACGGTCAGGGAGGCCTAAGTCGTACAATTTGTAGATAAGGCCTTCATACCAGACTCTATCGAATGCCTTGGCAATGTCGAAAAAGACCGCGATGGTCTTCTGACGACGAGGATAAAAACCGCTGAGGATATATTCCACAATACGGTGAACTTACTTGAGGGATGACATGAGGGTTACCGTCTGCGGGAAGCAGAGGGCGCCTCGTGCGCATGAGAATAACTCGTTCGAAAAGTTTACCCATGGCCTTGAGGAGGCTGATGGGACGGTGATTGGAAGGGAGGTGGTGAGGTTTGCCTGGCTTGGGAATGCCAATGACAGTTGCCTTTTTCCAAGAGGTGGGAAAATAGCTGAAGTCGAAGTAGGCGTTGAAGATTATGGCCAATAAGGCGATCACCTGCTCCGGAAAATGTTTGAGGGCTTGGTCGCCATCCGCGCCGGGTACTTTTTTGAGTTTTAGTCCTTTGATAATTGATGAAATCTCATCTTTGGACACAGTGATAGGGTCAGAGGTGGTTGGGGTTAAGTTCCGGCAGAGTAACTCGTCCTCCACTTCTTGGATAAGGGAGGGGTCAGTGGGTTGTGAGCTGGGAGAGCATTGTGCGGCGACGCTGTCGGCGAAGTACTCAGCCTTTTCTTCGTCCTCGAAGGCAATAGAGCTGTCGGGACGAGAGAGTGATAACGTCTACCCGGAGGGCTCTCGCCATCTGGTAGTACGATGTATGAGGGGGGAGATATTCTCCATGAGACTGCTCTTTTCGAGGTCTCTAAAGTCATTGAGTCGGTAGCGGAGTTTGCGTTGAAGACGGTGGGCCGCAAGTCTATATTCGGGAGTGGGATAGCGTGCAGCTCTACGGAGGGCAGCTTTTTTGGCTTTGATCAGGTTGCTAATATCTAGGGGAAGACTAGTTTTAGCATCCGGGACAATCCTTTCATTTTCCTTAAGAGAGGATTTTATTAGTGTGGTGAGATTTTCGGCCGCGGTGTCTATTTTCCCCGTACTGTCGAGGACGTCGGAAGAGAGGGCTATGGGAACGTCCGGAGAGTCCATAGCTGAGGCTGTTGACTTCCTGAAGCCCTTTCAGTTGGTGTAGGTTTTGTAAGAGGGAGTTGGAGGTGGCTGATGGCCAAGAATGAGGGTTACTTGACGGTGGTCGGATCCTAGATCATCGAGAGTTTGGGTTGCTCTAAGGTTAAGGGAGACTCCTTTAACTAGAGCAAAGTCTAACAGCGTCAGGAGCATGGTCAACATTGTCGGTATAATGGGTGACAGCGAGGGGGCTGTAGACAGTTAGGTCGAGAGTCTGAGTGATATTCAGCAGCTCCTTTCAAGTACTAGTAGTAGTGAGGCAGGTCCATTCAGTATGCTTGGAGTTAAAATCTCCAAACATAATGACTGAATTGCCTAATGCAAGGATGGCTTCGAGATCGCTCGTAAGGGAGAGGTTCCGCTAGGGATATAGCAGGAGGCTATGATGATGGACTGGTGTCCAGACATGGCTGTTCTACTTATGGTGGCTTCCATATTGGTAAGCGTCGGAGTGGGGATGTGGGAGCAATGAAGCGGCTTTTTGTAGTAAATGGCAGTTGCGGTCTGTCTGTCATCTCGAAGAAGCGAATAACTTTTGATAGAGAGGCCTTTGAGGACCTTAGAACTGAGGTGGGTCTCCTGGAGGAGGAGGAGGAGGTCGGCTTCGCGATCTCGAAGAAAGAGCCTAAGCTCAGGGAGGTTATTTCGCAAACCGCGGATATTAAAAGAAACAAGTGACAAACCCTTTGGTTTGATACGACCGTGTGATTTTGCGGGAGCACAAGGCTCCGGCATTATATTGTTACAGCGATCTTAAAAGATTGTTATGCTCAATAAGAGCAAAGAGATGGTCCTGAGGGGACTGAGCAGCGCGCAGTTTGCGTGCTAATGTAGTACCGTAAAATGGGGTGAATAGACACAACTTTCAACTTCTACACTGATTTTCTTACATATTTTGTATGAAAGCTGCTATTAAAGAATTGTCGAATTGCGAGTCTCGTTTTAATTTACCAAATAGTTATTATTTAATTATGCATAAATTTGAGAATTATTTGTAAAATAGGAAAAAGTAGGCGGTTTTTATTTACCTTGAAACTGGGGTCAAAAGATACGACAGAGGGATGAATAGAGAAAGAACGTTAGGGTTGTCAAAATCAACTTTTATTGTACCTATGTAAGTAGGTATTCGTTTTTCAGTAAACAACTATCAACAATAATTGAAGAGTTTAATTTTTGTAATTACAATTATTTAAGTATAATATCTAGCGTTAGCGACATTACAAAGGATTATAAGTATATCTTTATTTTCTGTATCATTTATTGTTTTGTATCTATATATTGTTTCAACTATTTTAGCCAAATTATTTGCATAATCTAGAAATATAATCATTCTAGAGAGCTAGATAGAACAAGATATTCAAAATAATAAAAAAATAACAATATATAAAAGTATGATCCAAATTCTAACCTATACAATAAAATGCTTTAACTATAATATATTTGGCAAACAATCTTAGGTTTTATGCAATCAGTACCTATTTGAGATCAAAAATAACTATTAATTATAACATTAATTTTACATATAGACATTTTATATATATATATATATATATATATATATATATATATATATATATATATATAGATTCTAATATAACTCCATCAAAAATTTTAAAAAATCCGCGTCATTCTTGTAATAAATAGGCCGCCTGGATTTTCTTTTTGGTACAGCTTTATTTAACAGTCTTTTTATTTCAGCATCGCTTACTACGACATCAGAAATAATTTCAATTTTTTTCGGATTATTCTCATTTTCATTGTTCCGTACAATGGTTTCAATTTGCCCTATGACATCCAAGTCGTCTTCAAAAATAACAACTTGCAACTGTATGATCAAGCTGATTTTCATGTTTAGGTGGATCATTTTCTTTGCAATCGGTTTTAATATCAGTTTTCGTTTTTTTTCCTTTACCCTTCCCTTTATTACTTACTCTATCCGTATTTTTTTCATTTTTCTGTTTCTTCTTTTCTTTTGGAACTGGCGGATTCTCCTCATTTTCAACAATGGTTTCAGTTTGCCCGATGCCATCCAGATCGTCTTCAAAAATAACAGGCATATTGTTTACATCGTAAGGATTGATGTTGTAGGAATAACTTGGAACTGTATGATCAACTGATTTTCATGTTTAGGTAGATCATTTTCTTTGCAATCGCTTTTTATATTAGATTTTGTTTTTTTTTCCTTTGCCCTTCCCTTTAGTGACTCCATCCAATATTTTTTCATTTCTCTGCTGTTTTTTTTCTTTTGGGACTAAACAAGGTATTCTGGGTCAGTCGTCTCAATATAGTCTTCATCGCTCGATAATAACACACTTTTTCCTGGATGAACCTGAAGCTTTTTCTTTTTTTTTTTTGTTGGTTCAACTATATTATTGGTCCCGTATCGCATATCTTTTAAATACTCCAAGATTGTCTCATCAACGATTTCGGACTGTTCAGCTTGATTGTCCCAATCAGGCAATTTTTTTAAAACCGCTGAGGAATCAAAGGGATTTATCCCTGTTTTTCTGAAGCCAGAAATAACATTTGCTGAGCCATTTTCTTTTAATTTTTCCATTAATTTACTAAGTAATTTGGGAAAACAACCTTTCGGAATCGAAGATTGATTTCGACCATCAATTTTCTTCCATTGTAAAATTATTTCTCTCCATGCTATTTTCATCGGTCTGAAGAACGCAACATCGAGTGGTTGCGTAATATGCGTGGAATTGGCTGGTAAGAAAATAAAATGTATATCCTTTTCATAGCATTTTCTTATTAAATCAATTGATAGGTGGGATGATAAGTTATCACCTATCAAACATTTTTTACCGGGTTTATATTCAAAAAACGGAATTATCATACTGTTTACCCAATCCTCAAAAATGTTAGAATCAAACCAGCCAGATTGACTTCTATTATAACGGGCTCCTTTTGGGCCAGATTTTATCCAAGTATCGAATAAGTTCTGAGCGTTATAAACTACATATGGGGGTAAGATTTCTCCTGCAGCCGTACACGCCATCATAATTGAAATTGAAGCTTTTGAAGAATTCATCACCCTTTCAGAGTATTTTGTTCCTCTCTTAGTAATGATCTTTTTTCTGCCGGGATCATCAGCTAAATTCGTTTCGTCGTAGTTGACTATATTTTCGATCGGAACATCACTAATAGAAATTTGTAACTGTTGAAAATACTCTTTAATAGTATCTGGAGAGACTGCAGCTCGATTCCTCTTAATATTTTGTGATACCCTCTGAGTTATTTTGTCACTATGCCTTTTCAAAAAACTTCTGGTGAAATCCGGCCCAGGTAAGTTATTTTTAAATCTTTTTTCCGTAACGCCTAATCTATCCAAATAATTTTTAACTAAAACCCTTAAGTCATAAAGTTCCATAGGATATCCCCATTCGGCACATACGTTAATGTATTTGATAAATTGAAGTTCTGTCTCCTTTGATAGCACTGTGTTCTTCACATTTTTAATACTGTGTCTATAGAGGACAGATTTATTAATTTGAATTTTTTCGGCAACGTTGCTCAAGGAATTTCTCCCCTCGCTATACTCACGAAGAGCCTGCTCGATGAGTTCCTTGCTATACTTTTTATATCTCTTGCCACGAGGATCTGGCTTGTACACCCTCGGCATGATGTTTACAGCGCGATGTGGCGTATCTGTTTAAAATAATCATGAAGAATTCGTGAAAATCAAGTACAAGAAATTATGTAATTCACCTTATGTGAATTAATTATAATTTGAACACAAAATACTAATCGTCGCTACAGTCACTTACTCGTGTGAGTTAAAATTAACCAAGTAAAAACAAAGTAGAATTTATAATACCTAATATTTAAATGTATTATTGAACATTAGGCGTTTCTAATCACCCCCGACTCGGTTCTATTCACCTCGAAATCAGTAAAAAAAATACTAAGTCTCGATTTTACTAAAAAATAAGAACAAAATGATGGAATACTCTTCTTTCTATTAGGAATAAAAAGGTTGATACTAACCTTTTTATTTCCTAATAGAAAGAAGAGAAACTTAGCTATCCATGTATGCAAATTGACAAAGAGTTATCAGTGACGAACTTGATGTTTTTTTTTAAGTTTTACACAGTCAATAAACACTTGTACGCAGACGTTCACTTCAACAGCTTTTTTCTCTATGTCATTAGACTTGACGTAAATTTTAGGGTTGCCAGAATAAAGGAAAAATGTTATAGTGTTATAAATAGTAGAAATAAAGATACTTTAACAGACTGTAGAGCAACTAGAACGACCATAATCAAATTCTCAGATTTGTTTCTATACACTCCGCGATTTCTATTCACCGCATTTTAAGGTAATCTCCCCTAAGTTGACGTTACGCATAGTGGTATACACTAAGTTCATATCATCGACTATAGGGTCTGCCTGTACTGGGGCGGCGGAAGGCTGCGGGATGTTTGTCTTTTTGGAGCCCCAAGGGTTGATTGGGAGCGGAGAGGGCTGTGAAATAGACAGGCCCATAAGGGGCCGAGGAGGGCCCTGCGGTGGCCGCTAGAAGCCCTGAGGGGGCCGATAGATGTTCTGAGTGGGCTGAGATGAGCCCTGAGGGGGCTGGGACAGGGGTACCCCCTGGCGAGGCATGCAGCTTGGAAGAGCCGGAAAAGCTTGGTCATTGACCTGAGGAGAGGGCGAGGAGCGCGAGGGCAGTCTCCGGGTGGCCGGTCTGTCCGCACAGCACTCATGCGGGTGGGGAGTTGGAGTTTTTGGGCCGAGGGCACTCTGTCGAGTGATGGGGTTCAAAGCACTTAACGTACCTGGGTGGGGCTGAGCAGTTGGCCGCCGCGTGCCCATAAAGTTGGCAGCGGTGGCACTGCGCCGGGTAACCGCGTCTGTGTGGGGCTTCCACCTTTACACGCGACAGGCCGCACACAGTGAATACCTGGCGGAAGATGGTCTTCGCCTCCGGCACATTGGTGAGTACGAGGACGGCGAAGTTAAACCTCTCGCCCCTGCTGCTGTGCATCCTGTGCACAGCCTCGACAGGGAAACCCTGGGACTTAAGGTCATCTAATATTTCTTCGTTTGCGAGTTCATAGGGAACTCCGCGAAGGACTGCCTTAATAGGACACATGCTCCGCCGTGAAGTAGCGGGTGATGTTGCGGAAGTCTTCTATAGACGCCGGGATGATTTTGATAGCTTCACCGACATTGTTGGCTTGGTCGTATTTGTATCCCTTATTGTGTAGGATTTTGGTCAATTTACTTTGTCTCTGAGAAAGACAGAGGGCGGGAATTGATTTTGGGCTAGCTTGGGAGCGCAGCGGATTGCTGGCTTGGAAAGAGAATCTTGCGACTGAGAGGAGGCAGCGTTAGAGGCTGCGGAGGTAGGGGCAGTTGCGGGGGCTGTGGAGGTGGAAGCAGCGACGGGAGCTGCTGAGGTGGAGGCAATGGCGTGGGCTGCGCGAGCGGCTGTAGGGGCTGCCGGGGCGGAGGGTGACCGCGAAGTTGCAGCGCGCTTCGGGCCGCTCTTGGATTTTGATTTTACTACGGTGAAGGAGGCCGAATCGGTGACCGTTCCTTCGGAGTCGGTCGATTCCGAGGAGCTGGAACCGGATGGATCTTTGGCGGATCTCTTACGAGAGGATGAGGTAATGGAAGTGGTGTCCGAGCACTCCATGTCGGAGTCAAGAGACGCGGGCTGCGGGGCAGCCGCTTGGGCCGCTAGGAAAGCCGCGACAGAGGGCGATGGGACACATGCCCTAGGGGCAAGGGGAGTAAGGACAGTAGTGAAGGCATTACTAACGGCGTTGGCGAGAATGGTCTCATCGCCATTGAAGGCTACGCAAGTTAGTTTAGTAGGTCTAAGTTAGACATGTTTGGTGGACAGGGGGGGGGGTCTGACGTTTATTCAGAGAAACAAACACTTGCTCTGAGAAGAACGAGGCCTTGTCCTTTTGAGGACGTTTTTCTAGAACACTAACTATATACAGGTAACAATTATAACAATAAACAATAACAAGAAAAGAAAATTAACAAAAAAAAACAGTAACAGAAAAGTAAACAATAGAACAATAAAAGCAAGGTGCGCTCAGACCTCCTCGCCGAAGTGAAGGGGTAACAACGGTGCGAAAAAACAAGTGACACTGACGGCGACTGCTCGGCCGGTGTGAGCTGGAGAGCATAGGCGCGCGAGCGAGAGGGTGCACTGCCGTACGGAGATGGGAGCGCGAACTGTAAGCACGACCACTCGGGAGCGGTGCGCAAACGGAATTGAGTTCAGTACTCGACTCAGTTCCGTAATTTTCGTTTAAAAAGTTTCTCACTCGTAAGGCGTAATGCGCAGGACAACCATAATTTTGAGAAGAGGGAATTCACTTTCCAAAAAATTTAAATAACTTTCTGCATTAAGAGTTTCAGGCAACTCAAATGCTTTTAAATTAATGACATTATTTGTCCGTCAATTATGCCCGACCACAAATTTATTTTGAATTGCTATTGTGAACTTTCCTCCCTTTTTAAGTGTGGATTTTTCAACTACACAGCTGTGTGAATTGTGTAAGTTTATATATCCATCTTTGCGGCAAGAAGATTCATCGTTTCACAAAAAATTATCAAACCAACCCTCGTTTTCTCTTATTTCGTTCATTGATAAAAATAAAAATTGTTTAACATATTAAGTGGATAAAATTGACTAACTTACAAACTTGTTTTATTGCTAGTTTTGGTTCTACCTACCTAATTTTTACAATATTTTGAGATGTATCAATTGTTTCGATAAAAGTAACAAAAACCTTGTAGCGAAAATTTAGGCCCTTCTGCAATGACGTAGCAAAGTTTTTGTTTTATTAAAAATTGGTTTTTGTTTTATTGTTTTTAAATCGTCATTCATTGCATTATTTTCTAAGCCAATGGGCATCAAGGATGTAGTAATTTTTTGACATCACAGTATCTTAAACTTGGAAGAAAAATCTTGTCTCGTAGAAATTCGCAAGTTTAATTTTTTTTTTCTAAATAAACTGTTCACGATGTTAGGAAACTGCAATAAATATGCAGTTACACATCTAGTCAGAAATTGTATTCAATAAAAAATACGTTTTCGCTGTTTCAATAGAATGGCATAATAGTAATAAGGTGATCATTTTCGGTAAAATCATTAAAATTAAAAAATCTTGAAAACTGTAGGCAACAGCTTTATTTCATTTTTGCCTGTTCTCATAGAGCACGATCTCATCTCTCGTCACTTTTCGTTTGGACCACTATTAACAGGACAATCTGTATACGAGTATATGAAGTATTGTTATTGTAAAGATGGACTCTCTGTGTGTCTATCAAAAGTATGTATCTTCAAATATTATAAAGAAAAATATCACCTAACATCTCCGCTATACATATCCGCTATACATATCAGCTATGTCATATCTAATTTGCCATTTGTTTTATTATATTTATTTCAAACTTTAAGATATATATTATAATCTAAAAAATATTTCGATTAAAAAATCGTCAATAGCGATTTCTAGTAAATTATAAGTGTATTTAAATAGAGGCGTTTTTAAAACGCCGTAAGACTTAAAAATTCAACTATGGCCAATGCAGATAGTGATTGCAATCCGGATTCTTCGAAATTCGAAAATAACTGAAAAATCCGGATTTTTCAGTTTTATTAATCCGGATTTTAAGATTCAAATCCGGTTTTTTCGGATTTTTGTGAAAATTGAGTTTAATGGATAATATTTTACATTTATCTACAAATTTTAATTCTAACTAATGAATATGTGTTACCCTACTATAATACGCTAATACGTTCAGTTTATGAATGTGTTTTGTTGTTTATTTTCATCATCACCACCATCATTACAGTCCTTCACAAGTCCACTGCTGAACATAGCCCTTCCTCAAGAAATGCCACAAAGCACGGTCTTGAGCCACCTATCGCATCATCCATCGACTTCCTGCATGTCTTACGAGGTCGTCACTCGTTCTAGTGGGGGGTCGCCCACCGGTACGAAGCTGCCACTTGAGAACCATTTTTCCCCATCGATTGTCGGTTGTTCTGTCGGCCGGTCCATTGCCACTTCAACTTACTAATCCGTTGGGCTATGTCGGTCACTCTGGTTTTACAGCGGATATCCTCATTTCGAAGTTTATCACGCAGAGAAACCCCGAGCATAGCCCTTTCCGTAGCACCTTGTGTGTCCTTATACGGCCAGCAGTGAATGACCACGTTTCAGATCCATAAGTAACCACTGGCAACACGCATTGGTTGTACAGTCTCGTTTTTAGGTTTTGAGGTATAACTGACTAGAAGATGTGTTGTAATTTCCCGAACGCTGCCTAGCCGAGTTGAATCCATCGATTAACCTCTTGCTCAAAGTTGGACTTACCTAATCGGACCTACCTACCTACCTAGTATTTGTCCCAGGTAAACTCACTCGTCAACAACTTCGAGTTTAGTGATCCCAACTACTACCAGCATAGGTGTGACATGGACATTAAACAGGATCTTTGTTTTGTCCCTACTCATCTTAAGACCTATCTGTTGGGAGACACTATTGAGTTCATTGAGCGTATTGCTTAGGTCCTCTAGCGATTCTGCCACAAGGACTGTATCGTTGGCAAATCGAAGGTGAGTTATGTACTTGCCATTGATGTTAATAC